TAGTGCAAGCCCAGTTAGAAAATGATGTTGTTTTAGTGAATATCCCACCGCACAACATCAAAAAACAGCTCGTGCGCAATAGGCTGTATGGTAGGACTTGCATCTCGCAAAACTGTGTAGTTTGTATTAATGGAAAAGTAGGAGATTGCTCCAAGTGCGGAGTAGTCTACCAGTTGGAATGTGTAGATTGCCATGCCATGTACATAGGCGAGACCGGTCGACAACTTCCCGTACGTGTAAATGAACATCTAGCTAGTAAAAGACGGCAGACTCATAAGTCCGTTAGGGAAGCACGGAAAGGAATTTTACAATGAAGACGATTTCGATATTAAATGCACTATCCTGGTGTTTGAAGAGCATATTTCTGCTCGGAAAGCATTGGAGGCTTCATACATTCATGCACGTAACCCTAAAATAAACAGCAAGAACGAACAATTGTCTATAAAGAATGATTTACGACCGTTCTTATCATTCTGTAAGCAAGATTGTCCACCACTACTTAAGCGGGTGCAAGTCCTCTGCATCGCTCAGTTACTGTCATCTGTGGACATATGGAAAGAGAGCTAGCATCTGCCAAGCTCTGTGGAACACTAGTGAGTCATCATATCAGCTTTGACCTAGCCGCAGTCACTGAAGAGGAGTCGAATGTGATGTGGCAGAGGTCTTTGATGGTATGAGCGCCTGATAGGTAATTGTCACTTTCAGGACTTTGAAGACTTTAAGCCGAAGTGTAAAGCGAAATAAAGTTTCCTATAAAAACCTATTACGGCATAACAACATCAAGATCAGCTTAACGGACATTTCCTTATTAATGCGAGGAACTCGCGATTGGGTGCTAGGTCGATGTGTATATGCTAATGGGTAAAATTATACCCATTCCCCACAATAAGATTTTACTATAGGATTACGCACGTATATAGCTAAAGCAGTCAAAATCACTAATTTGCCTGGAAAGTGGTCTACTGCTGGGGGTTGAAATGTTAACAGAAATCAAATCTTACAATGAGAGCGTACTGTAGGATAAGGGTAGTGATACTGGTAGTCACCTGCAGAATTTCAAAGTAAATTTGATTAATGCGATTCTAACGCATATTCACCGTTGCTGATGGATACGATGTTAGTGACTAGCATGTAAATTCCTTAAGGCTACTTCCTTGAATATTAGTGATGACCGCTGTAGCTACATAGTCCTACAGTAAGGTCCTATCATGAATAATGGATATGATTTTCGTAATAAGCTTAGCCATTTACCTAAATGGATAGCGCTAAAGCTGACTTTAAATTCGCAAGAAAATTAATGTCGTTGAGCTTTCTTACCCTTGTCAAAGTAGCCCCTTTATCCGGAAAAATATCGATTGCTTCTGTTGATTTATTGATTTTCTGTGCTTTTTTCCCAAGGATCGTGATTACTGGTACTGAGGTAAATTGATATGCTGATGAGGAGATGATAACCACTCAAAGATTTATCCGTTGATTGACTTTCTTCCACTTTTCGCTCAAGGGTGCTGGAAATTGGTGCATTGGGGTAGGTTAATATGCCGAGTACGACTATGAAATCATTCGGGAGGATACCTACTGCTTTTTAATATTGTGGTTTTTCCTAGTTTTGCTATGCTACTAGATATTATGTGAAGATGTTAACAACTTGAATAAGATTAGGGAAGTCTAGAGGTAC